CTTATATATTTTAGTGGTCATATGTTCCAGGTAACTTAAGTTATTGTCATTATTAGGATGGTTTTGGTCAGCTCTGGAGCCATAATTTGTTGGCAAAGGTCATTGAAGGCGAAGTTACTAAACATGGCATTGGCATAGACTTGGTATGACCTTTGTTTCTATATCAGTTAAGTTGACTGTGTATGATTAATATCTCCTTTTAAGATTTCTGGCTTTGTGTGTGTCTGTTGGGGAATTCCCACTGGGAAGCATCTGCTTGAGGACTTTAGGTTGTTCTTAGTTATGCATAAGTTATATGTCTATCTTTTTTCACTGCTTATTACTTTTCAGATCATTACCTTTGATAACTATGGTGTGTCTGGTCACTGCAATCACCGTGATGTGCATTATGGCGTAAAGTAAGTTAAATTATCACTTAAGGTTGAGCTTGGTTTGAATTTAAATTTCATGGAACAGGAAGACTAATATTAAAATAGACAAAAATTTAAATGAAAATAAAATTCTAATTCTAAATCAATTCTAGGTCCAATTCAAGTTAGTTGTTTCTATAATTGATTCATTGACATGTGGAAATACAAATCTATTATTATGAAATTGGTAATGGCACAAATAAAGTATTACTAACTTTGACATATCAAATATCTAGTAATTGAATGGGTTAGAATAAACTTGAGCCAAAAACAACGTTAACTTAACATTTTTATTCACTTAGGATACCTCTTAATTATGTTCTTTATGCATGTGCACTATGTGGGGATAAAATGGTGTGTACGTCTATTATTAATTTCTTCCTAATTATCATGACTAGGAATTTTCTCCTGTCAAGTTTGTTTGCATGTTTCTTCCCATTTCAGCATGCAAAAAGCTATTTTACATAAGGTTTCATTTACCATGCATGTGAATCTCACTGGTTTGCTTTGCCAAGGATGTTGAAGTTGAATATTTAGTATTTTGTCATGCTATTTTCTTGATAGAAATTTTTAGTTGAGAAATTGTAATCGATCTATTTTGTGAGCTAGCACCATATGTGGTGTTGTTCTGTCAAATTCATGTTCTACAATTTAAACCTCTTGAATTGTGTAGATCTGTGGAACCCTCGCTTGGCTGTTTTGCTTATGTGCTCTCTCATTGCTCTAATGAATGCCTTAATACTAGTTGGAAGTATCAATATTGAACTGTTATACTAAATGCTAGACTGCTCATCTTGCAGTAAAATGAGCATTATGCAGGGGAAAGAACATTACTTTATTATCTAACTACAAATCTACTATTACTGAAAAAGTATGTGGTAGATTCTGGATTACTTCACAAACTAAAGCAAATTCTGCATCTGTCTTGAAATAATATGGATAGGAAGTTAGGAACCATCATTTTTCTATTATTCTGGTGAAAACCCCTCTTTCTTTTCATTTGTTGTCTTAGCTTGTTCAACACATTAATTTTATGATGTTATGAAACTATGATATGCTTTGAAACCCATTTATTCTCTTCATTATTTGTGCTGTGTAAGCAGGAAGTTTTTGGTCAACAATCCACAAAGAAATATTGAAGGTTGGGAACTTGTATGTTTTTTTCCTTTTGTTTAGATTATTTTCTTTATCTCTGCTTTACTTAAGATGCAAACTAATTAGCATGCACCATTTTTTGTCTTGTTTAACTTGTGTTCAATAGACGCATCCTTGATTAAGAAAGACTTTTCCTAGAAGCATGGAAACTACTTCAATCTTTCTTGTTTTGTTTGGTTGCTGCCTGAAGATTTTCATTCTTATTGAATTTTTTAGTGAACTGATTTTTTGGCAAAAAATTCATGCATTTTTCTTTTTTTAGACATAGAAGAAGGGAAGAATATAAATTTGTTACCTGGTTATTTTTTCCTCAGTATAAAAAAGGGAAAATCCTTAATGAGCTATTTTCTTCAACATGATTCAATATATGCCATTTTTTTTTAATATTTATTCTTCTATTATAAAATTTTTAACTTGGAATCAGGTTAGTACTAACATATTACGCAAGTATAGTGGGCCTGTTGACATTTGGCTATCGAATTTATATGGCATGAATGGCCCTGGTGGAGTAATGCATTGCTTGCTAAATGAGCAGCCCAAGAAGAGCTTCTTTGCCATGGCACAACACTCAAGCCAATGGGTTTGGTATGTCTACTTTTTTTTTTTGAAATAAAAGAGAGAAAATATATTAAAAGAAAGGCACCAAGGGGGTGCCACCTATGTACAAAAAACGGTTTTATATGTCAATGAGCATATCTACAATTGCTCCTATGTCATTAAGAGTGTGTAAGTTATGACCCCAAAAAAATGGAGCAAAAAAAAAGCAGCCATTTATCTTTAATATTTACAAAAGTATCTTCCATATCCTCAAATGCCCTGCTATTTCTTTCTTTCCAAAGAGTCCAGAAGTTTGGTATGTATAAATCCCCATGAAATTCGTATAAGAGGATGTTATTGATGATTAAGATGTGACTCGTTGTACATTCTCCTTTCTGTTTGACTTCCGTTCTTTGTTTTTTTTGAATTTAGAAATTATTTTCTATTTGAAATTTTTTTCTTTATTTGTTATACTGAAGACCAACAAGTTTCTCTTGTCCTTCTTAAAATGATGCCACTGTTACTTCTGCAGGTTTCGGAAGCTTTTTGTTTCCTTTTCCAGTTATACGTACGTGAACACGCTTAGAAAGATCTCTATCTACTAGTCTGTAGAGCTGGTGAACATAATAAAGAAATAATGGTTTGTGGGATCATTTTTGCTTTGCTGCTCTATTGTGAGTTATTGCCTCAATTTTTCGGTATCACTCTTATGTAAACTTGTCATTTTTTATTTTTTGATAGATAAGAGAGAAGAGAGATAGATCAGGTGGCTGGAGATAAGAGACCGGTGAGTGATGATAGGAACTAAGGTTGGGCAGCACCAACGGCACTGTATGTAAACTTGTTTTGTATCTACATCTGCATGTTCTCTCTTCAGTTTCTCTACATGGCTTTTTAGCAATGAAGAGTTGTGGTGCATATAACACTGAATTGTAGATACGATTGAAGTCAAATGATACTTATTGGTGAAAGCATGGATGTTTCTTTCAAAATTTTCAATATTAGAGCAATTTGTTTAATTTGTATGTTTTATTTATTTTTGGGATGTTATAGGTAAACTAGGTATAATATATGCTTTCCTTCTTGGAGTCTAGCTGAAGAGTGTGATTGACTTGTAACTCTCTCAAAGAGCTTGTAAGCTCAATAACTTACAAATTTTGTTCTTTTAATTTATAGCAAGCCAAAAATTGTCAATTGTCTTAGAGATTAGAGGGGAGATTTAGGGCAAAAACCTGAAGTTTTTGAGGGTAGAAAATACGCAATGCTGAGAAGAAAATAATTTAGAGGAAGACGCTTTCTTAAGATGTGAAAATATAATTAATTAGAAGGTCAAAACAGTATTGCCTATGTAAATATTTAGAATCGATAACAAAAGGTTAATAATGAGGCTGTGTTATGGGCTCATGAGTTTATACTCCATGATAATACAAAAGGTACTAGTTTATGTAGATGATGTAATGTTATAGAAAATGATGAAGAAGAGAAAATGATCCTCAAGCAATGACTAGCCAAGGAATTTGATATTAAAGATTGGGAATATTAGAATACTTTCTCAGGATAGAGGTGGTATACTCTAAATTCAGAATATTCATATCTCAGCAAAAATATATTCTAGATCTCTTGAAGGAAACTGGCAAGTTGGTGTGCAAGTCTGCCAATACACCAATTGATCCCAATCACAAACTGAGACATGCAAAGGAAGATCCCGGGGGTGGAGAAGGAAATGTATCAGAGGCTAGTGAGAATATTATTATACTTGTCACATATAATGTCAGTTCATGCACAAGCTCAGATAAGTGCACTTGCAAACTGTCTATAGGATACTCCAGGAAAGGGCATTATGTTCAAGAGGAACAATTGATTGCTCCTTGAAACATATACAGATGCAGACTATGCATGTTCATTAATCGATAGATGGTCTATATAGATACTGCACTTGTTCTTAGGAGGGTGACTATGCACGCCCGTAGACAAAGGTTGTAGGAGGGTGAGAGATAAGGTTGTTAACCTTGTTCTTCAGACCCCACAACAAATTCTTCCTGCATTAAATCCTAGTGTTCTACACGGGAATCAAGTACCTGCATGGGATTATCCTTTCTGTCCGTCTCACTATTTAGGACATTGAATTTGTTACCTGAAATTGGTGAATGACTAACATTCTTTTGTTGACTCGGATTTTTCCTATTGGACAACTCCTCAATTCACTCCTTACTAGTCTGACCAACAGTACCTGCATGGAAATTCCTTATTATTAGACATTTTATTTAAAGCATTA